TCACCACCATCCCCACATGGACACCTGATCCCAAGTTCAGTTGCTTGGAAACCTGCATGTAATTATGATTGTCGCCAGCGTCGGATAGGCAAAATGTGGGAAGCTGGATTGTCCTATGAGTCGCATGATTCACTTAACAACCGCAGCAGTTCACTTAACAACAGGGCACAAAAGGTCATAAAATCGGGAGCGACTCACTGAACAACTAATTTGCCTTGCAACTGAAATTCTGTTCTCAGTTGTGGCCATAACTCAAGGACTATCTGTATTACATCAATTTGCTGTCTTTTCTGTGCATTTTTGGTGGGCGGCGAACACCGGTGGTAAAATTATGTGAAACCCATCTCTGCCCACACCTACACAAAAAATCCCTTAACTTGCCCCAGGTTTTTTTTAAAAAAAAAACAAGTTTTATTTGTTTTTTTCTTTTCTCCTCTCCCACCTTCACTCACATTTTTCTTTCTTTTTTTTTGAACAGAGTGTTGGTCGTTTCTTATTTTATACAATTAGTCAAATTCAAATACATTTTACTCAATTACAATTTTTGTCAATATCATCTTCCCCCCTTTCCTTTTTTTTTTGAATATACCTCAATATTTCTATACTTGCATACATAAACATCTTCTTCATTTATCCCTAAATTCTAACTTTACTATTTATAAATATTTATCCTCTTTTATTCTTAAACAATTCATTCTTTTTCTTAATATATTTATATTTGTTTGTTCAGAGCTGCCTTTCTTCCACTTCATCTTTTTTTTATTGTATAGCAATCTTTCTCCTCAAACCTAGCCTCTCCCTCTTCTCCTTCCAACTTTCTTTCCCCACCTTCTTCTTCTCTACTTCCCCTTCCCTTCTCCTTCTCCTCCTCTCTTCCTCCCTGTCTTACCTTCTCTCCTACTCTACTTTCCCTTCCCTTCCTTCCTCCCTACTCTTCCATCCCTCTCTCTCCTTCCTCCTCCCTTCCAATTCCTTCATCTCTCTCTATTGCTGTATTATTCATTTTCAATTTAATGTTTCCCATTGTGGAGTCTAGGTAGCCCTGATCCCTTATTTTTTTTAATTATTAACAATATATTTCATCTTGCTCTCTTTTTTCTTTCAAATCTTTACTCAAACACTTTTCTAATCTCTTAGCTTTTTTACTTTTACCAATATATTTTTTCTGCTTTACTTCTTGCAAGTAAAACTTCCCCCAGTTAATAAACCTAACATGGTTACACGCTCAACTCAATGTGTCTGTTTGATTACTGCATAAATTTTCTATCTCAGAAAATGGTGTTATGATTTTTATGGCGAGTGCATTTCCTCTTGATAAATTAACATTGCACACTTTGATAAACGCTGTAACACAACAGCTATCAAACAGACGAACTGGATTGAAACTGCGTAATGGAAAATTACAAGAAGGTTCAATTACACTTCAACGCAAGCAATCAACAATCAATTTTAATTGTGGCCTGCGTTAGGAATCATTTTGATTTGAGATGAGAGTTAAAAATAACTTTGGTAAATAAACAGCCAAGAGTCCCAGTGCGGTTTGAGCAAATATCGCTTTCTACCACGGCAGATTCAGATCGTACAGTAACTTCTCAACTTACAACCGACCAGAATTTCCGCTCCTAAACAAAGCATTTGTTAAGTGAGTTGCGCCCAATTTTATAAACTTTTCTTTGTCACAGTTCTAAGCCAATCCCTGCAGTTGTTAATTAAATCACATGGTCGTTAAGCAAATCTGATTCCCCTCCCCCTTGACTTCGCTTGTTGGAAACAACCTGGGATATTGCAGTCATCGTAAATATATACCAGTTGCCAAGAAATAAAATTAAATATAAACAAACCCATGGAGTGGGGTGGGGGGTGGGGGAGAGATTGGGAGACAGTCATTCCTTTTCAGCCTAACCTACCTCATAGGGCTGTTGTTGGGAAATTAAGAGAGAGGAGCAGTATAGATGCTCGCCATCTTGAGTTGGCATGTCTGTGTGGCACGAGAATAATGTAACAATAATAATCTCATATACAATGCAGGTAGTCCTCAATTTATGACCACAATTAAAGCCAAAATTTCTGTTGTTAAGCGAGACTGTTGTTAAGTGAGTTTTGCCCCATTTTATGACCTTTCTTGCTTTCCACTGAAATATTGCAGTTGTCAAGTTAGTAACATGGTTGTTAAGTGAATCTGGCTTCCCCATTGAGGTCGCAAAAGGGGATCATGTGATCCCGGAACAGTGCAACCATCTGAAATATGAACCAGTTGCCAAGAAGCTGAATTTTGGCCATGTGACCATGGGGATGCTGCAAATGTCATAATTAACTCACTTTTTCTGGTGGTTGTAAATTGAGGATTACCCGTAGAACCATTTTGCAGAATCCTCATGCCTGGAAAAAAAACCAGTTTTGCGAATTAAGGTAACACTGGAACCAGTGGTGAAATCCAATTTTTTTTACTACCGGTTCGGTGGGCGTGGCTTGGTGGGCGTGGCAGGGGAAGGATACTGCAAAATCTCCATTCTCTCCTCACTCCAGGGGAAGCATACTGCAAAATCCCCATTCCCTCCCCACTCCTGGGGGAAGGTTATTGCAAAATCCCCATTCCTACCCCACTCTGGGGCCAGCCAGGGGTGGCATTTGCCGGTTCTCCGAACTACTCAAAATTTCCGCTACCGGTTCTCCAGAACCTGTCAGAATCTGCTGGATTTCACCCCGATCGGAATTCAAGAAATATTGGAAGAACGGGAGAAACCCGAATGAATGAACGATGCATAAGATAAGGTGACTTTTAGATCATCTTTATTGTCATTTTTTATTGTGGGCACACTGGTACGCATTGAAAATGAAATTCTGTTGTCTGGTAGAGCAAGCACAATCATGGGCAGCCTCAACGGGCTTACTTATGAGCAAACTCCAAAGATTAAGACCATTCTTGTTTCTGAATATACTTGAAGAATTAAGGCTTGTAGAATGATGTTCCTTCCTTATCCAACATTTCAGGAAACAGTAACAGTTTAATAACAGAGAATAACAGAGTTGGAAGGGACCTTGGAGGTCTTCTAGTCCAGCCCCCTGCTTAGGCAGGAAACCCTACACCACTTCAGACAAATGGTTATCCAATCTCTTCTTAAAAACTTCCAGTGTTGGAGCATTCACAACTTCTGGAGACAAGTTGTTCCACTGGTTAATTGTTCTAACTGTTAGGAAAAGTTCTAAGTTGCTTCTCTCCTTGATGAGTTTCCACCCATGGCTTCTTGTCCTGCCCTCAGGTGCTTTGGAGAATAGCTTGATTCCCTCTTCTTTGTGGCAGCCCCTGAGATATTGGAACATTGCTATCATGTCTCCCCTGGTCCTTCTTTTCATCAGACTAGACATGCCCAGTTCCAGCAACCGTTCTTCATATTAAAACCTATGAAGCCTCCAGCCCCCTCATCCTCTTTGTTGCTCTTCTCTGCACTCTTTCTAGAACTTTTTCTTTTTTTTCTTCTTGTGCCATATCCGTCATCGGACGTTGGCGATCATGTTGGCAATCCTATTTTTGTCAACAGCCTCATGAAAAAGTGTTGCTGAGTTTTGTCCAGACCGGTCCCTTAGATTTTGAAGCCACAATGTTCTTCTTCTGCCTGGACCTTGTTTGCCTTCAATCTTTCCCGGGAGGATTAAGTGAAGGATGCCGTATTTTTGTGGGTGTGGCATCGCATGTCCAAAATATTCTAACTTTCGCTTTTTAATGGCTTTGATGATTTCCCTCGGCTTTCCCAGGCGGCTTATCACCTCCTCATTTGTGATTTTGTTGATCTTGTTTCAAGAGCAGGGGTCTCCAACCTTGGCAACTTTAAGACTTGTGGACTTCGACTCCAGAATGCCACAGCCAGCTTTTCTTTTTTTTTTTTTTTTAATGTATCTTTTCTTTTATGTACACTGAGAGCATATACACCAAGACAAATTCCTTGTTTGTCCAATCACACTTGGCCAATAAAGAATTCTATTCTATTCTATTCTATTCTATTCTATTCTATTCTATTCTATTCTATTCTTATTTTCTTTTTTCTTTTCTTTTCTTTTCTTCTCTTCTCTTCTCTACTCTACTCTGATTCTATTCTATTCTATTCTCTTTTCTTCTCTACTCTACTCTGATTCTATTCTATTCTATTCTCTTTTCTCTTTCTTTTCTTTTCTTTTCTTCTCTTCTCTTCTCTTCTCTACTCAATTCTATTCTATTCTATTCTCTTTTCTTCTCTACTCTACTCTGATTCTATTCTATTCTATTCTTTCTATTCTATTCTATTCTCTTTTCTTTTTTCTTTTCTACTCTGATTCTATTCTATTCTATTCTTTTTTCTTTTCTTTTTTCTTTTTTTTTCTTTTCTTTTCTTTTCTTTCTTTCTTTTCTTTTTTTTCTTTTCTTTTTTTTTTCTTTTTTTTTTCTTCTCTTCTCTTCTCTTCTCTTCTCTACTCTTCTTTTCTCTTCTCTACTCTACTCTTTTCTACTCTACTCTACTCTACTCTACTCTACTCTACTCTACTCTACTCTATTCTATTCTATTCTGGCTGTGGCATTCTGGGAGTCGAATTCCACAAGTCTTAAAGTTGCCAAAGTTGGAGACCTCTGTTCTAGAGTCTCAAATTCTTTTTTTTTTATATCGTGGCGATATAAAAAAAAATATCGTGGCGATATTAAAAAAAATTATATCGTGGCGATAGGACGGCGGGGGGGGGTGCGGGAGAGAGCTCAGAGAGACCCAATTCTTGGCTGTTACTGATTCCGACGAGACTCGGCAAGGGAGTCACTGATTCTTGGCAGATTAATTTTCTCGCGTTTATGCGTTTTGGGGTTAGGAACGCAGGATCCCCATGTGATTGGCGAGCTGGGCTGGTGGCGGGCGGGGTCAGCTCATGATGCTTCCGAGCGATTGGCCGTGCCAGGGGAAGGGGGCGGGATGACAGCAATCTAAGCTGCGGGCCGTTGCTAGGGACGCGGCGGGCCGTTGCTAGGGACGCGGCTAGCCGGCTCAGCTCGTGCTTAGGAGTGGGGGGGCTTCGGGGATGGCGGGCGTGGAGGGCGACGATGCCGGCGCTGTCTTGGATCACATCGTCACCCAGTTTAACACTTACGAGGAGTATTTGGATTCTCAGATCACCACGCAGGACCTCTTTTATCTGGAGGTGAGCCTGCCTTCCTTCCTTCCTTGCATACAGCGCCTCTGAGCATGTGCTGAGTGCAAGCTCTCCCGGATGCAACTCTCGTCGAGGAGAACGGAACCGGAGCAGCGGAGCCTCCGTTTGGGTTAACAGGGGATTTGTCCCCACTCGACAAGAGCTGATAGCCTAATGCTTCGTTTGAGTTTTCCCAGTTTATTTTTTTTATTTTATTTTATTTTTTTAATTTGATTTATATGCCGCCCTTCTCCGGAGACTCAGGGCAGCTTACAATGCGTTAAGCAATAGCCTTCATTCTTTTGTATATTTTATACAAAGTCAGCTTATTGCCCCCACAAACTGGGTCCTCATTTCACCTACCTTAGAAAGGATGGAAGGCTGAGTCAACCTTGAGCCTTGGCGAGATTCGAACCAGCAGTAATTGCAGGCAGCTGTGTTAATAACAGGGTGCTTTAGACCACTGTACTACCAAGGCTCTTTGAATCCTATTTGAGTCCTAAGCTAATCAAGTGGGTCCGGTTTACACAAAAATTAAACCACCACAAACCCACCAAGGGTTAATAACAGATTAACAGAGTTGGAAGTGACCTTAAAGGTCATCTAGTCCAACCCCGCCCCCTCACCCCTACACCAGGGGTGAAATCCAGCAGGTCCCGATAGGTTCTGGAGAACTGGTAGCGGAAATTTTGAGCAGTTCGGAGAACCGGCAAATACCACCTCTGTCTGGCCCCAGAGTGGGGAGGGAATGGAGATTTTGCAGTATCCTTCCCCCAGGAGTGGGGAGGGAATGGAGATTTTGCAGTATCCTTCCCCTGGAGTGAGGAGGGAATGGAGATTTTGCAATATCCTTCCCCTGGAGTGGGGAGGGAATGGAGATTTTGCAGTATCCTTCTCCTGGAGTGGGGAGGGAATAGAGATTTTGCAATATCCTTCCCCCAGGACTGGGGAGGGAATGGAGATTTTGCAGTATCCTTCCCCTGGAGTGGGGAGGGAATGGAGATTTTGCAGTATCCTTCCCCTGGATTGGGGTGGGACTGGAGATTTTGCAGTATCCTTCCCCTGCCACGCCCACCACGCCACACCACGCCCACCAAGCCACGCCCACAGAACCGGTAGTAAAAAAAAATGGATTTCACCACCGCCCTACACCATTTCTGACAAATGGCAGTCCAATCTTTTCTTAAATGTCTCCAGTGATGAAGCTCCCACCACTTCTGAAGGCAACTTCTGTTCCACGGGTTGATTGTTCTCCCTGTCAGAAAATTCCTCCTCATTTCCAGGTTGAATCTCTCCTTGGTCAGTTTCCATCCATTATTGTCTGGCCTTCAGGTGCTTTGGAAAAGGGTAAAACTAACCGGGTTTAGCATGTTGCCCAAATGGATGTATTGTCCTAAAAAAATGACCCCGTGAAGAATCTTAGCTTTCTTTCCCAAGCTGGAAACATGCTTGAATGTGACCAATCTCTCTATTTTGCCTTTGCCCTAAAAGTACAACTTTCACAAACACACACACACAATTGAGCCCAAAATTGTAAAACTTTTCCTGCCACACTTGTTAAGCAAACCACTGCCATTCGTTAAATGAGTAACACGGTTGTTAACGGAATCTGAAGTGTGAAAAATGGTGATGTCACTTTTTTTCCCAGTGCCGCTGTAATTTTGAACGGTCACTAAACGAACTGTTGTAACTGTGAGGACTACCTGTACAGTGCTTCGGTGAGAAAGCTGGACATCACATAGTTATAGCCAAAGCTTCCTTGCTCAGCTTCCATTGGCTTCCTTGAAACCTGTGGCTCAACCTTTTCCGGGACCTCCGAAGTGGATGTACACCCATGAAATTGGACTGCAGTTCCTGAGGTTTGCCACGAGGTGGAAATATTATTTCACTTTTGTTTAAAACGGTGCCGCTAATTCTTTCCAGGCAGAAACGTAGAGTTGATGTCAAAGAGAGCTGTGGCATCTTTAACTCAGCAGTTTGGTAAGCGTTTTCCCATCAAGTCTACTTTTTCTGATTGCAGAAATAGGTATTTGATGCAAAGGACCCGAGAGCCTTATTCCTTTGCTGATGTCTACAGCAAGCTTCTTTCTTAGATTCCCCGTTCCCCATTTCTTTCCGTATGGACTACTGTAATGCTCTCTACATGGGGCTCCCCTTGAAAAGCACCCGGAGGCTCCAACTGGTCCAGAATGTAGCCGCGCAGGTGATTATGGGCGCAGCTTGTTACGCCCATGTAACACCTCTCCTACACGAGCTGCACTGGCTCCCGGTGGTCTTCCGGGTGCGATTCAAGGTGTTAGTTATCACCTTTAAAGCGCACCATGGCTTAGGACCTGGGTACCTACGAGACCGTCTTTTGCCACCAATAGCCTCCCACCGACCAGTTCGTTCTCACAGGGAGGGACTACTCAGGGTCAGTCAAATTATGTCGACTGGCGACTCCCAGGGGGAGGGCCTTCTCTGTGAGGGCTCCAACCCTTTGGAATGAACTGCCCCCGGAGATACGGAATATCCCTGATCTCCGTGCTTTCCGCCGTGCCCTCAAAACCCTGATGTTCCAACAAGCGGGGCTAAACATATGAACATGTGAATGTTTTTAAGATGTTATCTAATTTTAGGTTCTATTTAATTGGGCCAAACTATGTTATAATAATAATTTTAATTAGCAATTTTATGATGTTTGTGTATCTATATTTTTCTTGACTGTACACCACCTTGAGTCCTACGGGAGAAAGGCGGTATAGAAATATAATAAATAAAATAAATAAATAAATAAATAAATAAAATAAATAAATAAATAAATAAATAAATAAATAAATTTCCATTTATTCCTCTCTGCTATATATCGGTCCTCATAGCAATAGCACTTATATACCACTTCACAGTGCTTTTGAGCCCTCTCTAAGTGGTTTTACAGAGTCAACATATTGCCTTCAACAATCTGGGTCCTCATTTTACTGACCTTGGAAGGATGAAAGGCTGAGTCAACCTTGAGCCGGTCAGGATCGAACTGCTGGCGGCCGGCAGTCAGCAGAAGTAGCCTGCAGTACTGGATTCTAACCACTGTGCTACCATGGCTCATAATAGTGGTATTGTTATCTGATGTATACATCATACTTTATGGCAGAGGTCCCCAAACTTGGCAGCTTTAAGACTTGTGGACTTCAACTCCCAGAATTCTCCAGCCAGCATAGCTTAAAGCATAACTGGCTGGAGAATTCTGGGAGTTGAAGTCCACAAATCTTAAAGCTGCCAAGTTTGAAGACCTCTGCTTTATGGAGTAGCAGAAGAAAACAAACATCCCTATTAATGCAGGTAGTCCTTGACTTACAACAGTTCGCTTAGTGACCGTTCGAAGTTACAGTGGCACTGAAAAAAGTGAGTTACAACCGTTTTTCACACTTATGACCGTTGCAGCATTCCCCCCCTTCCCCACGGTCAAGTGATTTACATTCGGATGCTTGGCTCACATTTATGACGCTTGCAGTGTCCTGGGGTTATGCGATCCCCTTTTGCAACCTTCTGACAAGCAAAGTCAATGGGGAATCGCAGATTCATTTAATAATCAGTTTACTCATTTAATAACTGCAGGGATTCACTGAACGAATGTGGCAAGAAACGTCGTAAAACAACTTCGACTAACTCTGCTGGTCTGTAAATATTAAAGTCCTGGTGTTCTACGGGTTCACCTCATTTCTAGAAAGGTTAAATCGTGGCAACTGGAGCAAAGTTTATTAAATGAGTCTCGTTACTCATCCAAGTAAGTTCTTTAGTCAAAATGAAAAATTTACTGTAAAGCAGTGGTGAAATCCAAATTTTTTTTACTACTGGTTCTGTGGGCGTGGCTTGGTGGGCGTGGTGTGGCTTGGTGGGCATGGTGTGGCTTGGTGGGTGTGGCAGGGAAAGGATACTGCAAAATCTCCATTCCCACCCCACTCCTGGGGGAAGCATATTGCAAAATCTCCATTCCCACCCCACTCTGGGACCAGCCAGAGGTGGTATTTGCCGGTTCTCCAAAGTACTCAAAATTTCTGCTACCGGTTCTCCAGAACCTGTCAGAACCTGCTGGATTTCATCCCTGCTGTAAAGTTAGAGAGTTAGAAAGTCATTGGAATTCAGGTTCACCTGAATTCTCATTTGCTTCTCCAGAATGAAGAAATGGCCCGCCAATTGGTAGAGCTGGGTTTTCGAGGAAGTGGAGAAGTCTTGAAAAGGGAAGATTTCATCGCCAGGAAATTAGCTGCTGAAGCATCCAGGATCTCAGAGAGACAACAGCAGAAGTAAGTGACCACTTGGTCCTAATGGACCATCTTAGAAGATGTGAAGAAGGGTAATTGAGGAGCAATAAATCTATCCGTTAAAGCAGAGGGTCTCCAAACTTGGCAACTTTAAGACTTTGTGGACTTCAACTCCCAGAATTCCTCAGCCTTGGAGGAATTCTTGGAGTTGAAGCCCAGAAGTCTTAATCCCAAAGGTGCTTTTTCAAAAGGCAAACTGGACTTGTTTTTCCTTGCAAATGTTTCGCTTCTCATCCAAGGAGCTTCTTCGGAAAAACACATTTTGGACAACCATGACTGAAAACCTCCATAGACACAAGTCTTAAAAGTTGCCAAGTTTGGAAGACCCCTGGGTTAAAATACAGCTGTCCAAAACTGAAGAGAGTGTGTGCATCATGAAGTCTATTAGAAGAATTCGAAGAAGCTTTCGCCAACCATCATTTTCTTGCTGGGTTAGAGTGGATTGTCCAGTCGTGCTTATTGGATATTATGGGAGTTAAAGATCGGTTTATTTAAGGAGCACCTGGCTGGAGAAAGCTGTTTTAAATAAATGCATATCCCTAAATTCTAATGCATGTACCATATTTTTCGGACTATAAGAAGCACCTGATTATAAGACACACCTAAATTTAGAAGAGAAAAACAACAAAAAAAGTTTTTGGCCTCTGCGTGCCCCATTTTTGTTTTTTCCGAAAAATTGGGCCGAAAAAAGCCTCGAAAATAGGCCAAGAAAAGTCTCTAAAATTGGCCAAAAAAACCTCGAAAACAGGTCGAAAAGAGCCAAAAAAAACAAGCCAAAAAACAGGTAGAAAAGAGCCTAAAAAACAAGCCAAAAAACAGGCCAAAAAAGCCTCAAAAATGAGCTGAAAAAAGCCTCAAAAATGGGCTAAAAAAGCCTCGAAAACAGGCCAAAAAGAGCCAAAAAACAAGCCCAAAAAATAGACCAAAAAAAGCCTCAAAAATGAGCTGAAAAAAGTCTCAAAAATGGGCCAAAAAAAGCCTCGAAAATGGGCCGAAAAAAGCCCAAAAAATGGGCCGAAAAAAGGCCTGAACAAGGCCAAAAAAAGGCCCGGTGGGTGGGCGGGGCTTTGGCAATATTTGGTCTATAAATACAGACATTTTCATCCCCTTTTGGGAGACAAAAAAGTGTGTCTTATAGTCTGAAAAATATGGTATTCAGCTAGAGGATTTCAGCTATTTATTTCCATTTCTGAAGGTCCATCAAAAAGGCTGAGGTTTTGCATAAAAGGAAAGTGCTCTCCATGAGGAAGACTGCCTGTGAATATGTCTGCATGGTTGATGTTGGGGGGTCTTTCCTCTTTTTGCCCTTCCAGCTGCAGGCCAGGAATCTGACCATATTTCTCTACTGGACACCCGGGGCAACATCCTTGCCCCTGAAGTGACACAATGTGTGGCTTGCCTCTTTCCATGAATATTGGTGACTGTCAGATCCTTTCTTCATTGACCCTAAAGGACAACTGTTTACATTCCCAAAATAAAATGTACCTCTCATTCAGAAAAATCACCTAGCTTGGTAATTGAACAAACTAGTTTTGGGGCTGAAAAAATACCAACGGAAACCTTTTCTTCATTCTAAGGTTAAAAGAACCCGATAATTTTAGAGGGAAATACAGGTAGTCCTTGTCTTACGACCACAATTGAGCCCAACATTTCTGTTGCTAAGCGAGACAGTTGTTAAGAGTTTTACTCCCATTTTACGACCTTTCTTGCCACAGTTATTAAGTGAATCACTGCAGTTATTCAGTCAGTAACATGGTTGTTAAGTGAATCTGGCGTCCCAAGTTACAACAAAGTTGTAACTGTCTGAAGGTCACAGAAGGGGATCACAGGGCCCCCCTGGGACACTGCAACCGTCATAAATATGAGTCAGTTGCCAAAGGTCTGAATTATGATCATGTAACCATGGGGATGCTGCAGTGGTTGTAAGTGTGAAAAACAGTCATACATCACTTTTTTCAGTGCCATTGTCACTTTGAATGTTCACTAAATCCACTGTTATAAGTTGAGGACCATCCGTCCACCAATTGAAGACAATCTCCTGATTGTGAGGCAAGAGCTCTACCACTAGGCCACAGCAGCTGGGTAGATCTGGCCCACAAGGCTGCCCTGGAAACAGCCAATGGACTGGCCCGCGGTGCCTCTGCCAACGAAAATGGAGTTCAGGAGGACTGTGCATGGCCCTCCCCAGCTCCATTTTTGCTGGCAGAGGACTGCAGGAGGCCGACACAGCCAAAAACGGAGCCTGGGAGGGCCGCATGTAACCCTCCCGGGCTCCGTTTTCGCTGGCAGAGGGCTGCAGGATATCGAACTGGCCATGCCCACTCCCCCCCCCAGGTCAAACACAACCCTGATGCGGCCCTTGAGGAAATCGAGTTTGACACCCCTGTACTAGAGTGTTTTTCCTTTTTAATACTTGCTTTGTAGTTCTGTATCATTAACAGCAGATGATTGAAGGCCTGTTGAGGTTTGTGTTCTCCCTGTGTCGGGTGTATACAGGCAGTCCTTGACTTACAAATACAGTTGGGGCTGGAACTTCCATCGTTAAGCAGCATGGGGGTTTATTTTATTTATATCAAATTTGTTGGCCGTCCATTTTGACATAGAATACCACTGAAGGCTAGTGGGTCACGTCCGATTTTGCAGCCTTATTTGCTGGGGTCATTAAAGGAATCCAGCTTCCCCGATCGACTTTGCCGGTCAGCAGCCGGTTGGGACGGTCACAAATGGCGATCATGTGATCCTGCGTGATCCTGCAATCATTATAAACACATACCAGTTGTCCAGGTCATGGGACTTCAAGGAGGCTGCAATGGTTGTAAGTGCGAGGACGAGTTGTAAGTCACTTTTTTCAACACCGTTGTAGCTTTGAACGGTTGTTAAAACTATACATATAAAAGGAAAATACCGCTCATGCATCATCATGAAATCTCCAGAACCGTAAAGCCTACAAACTTGAAATTTGGCACATATGTTCCTCTTGGCTTCTAGGTATTCGCTAAGAAAGGATTTTTCAAAATGACCATCAGATCATTAGTATTTCTTATATTATTATTAACACACTCTGATGCTAAGCAGTTAGATGTTGTACTGCCCTTCCCCACCTGAAAGGAACTCTGTTCCAACTGCCACTTTGGCGTGGGCGTGGCCAGTGTGTGACTCATCCGACCTGCAGACTGGGAGTTTAGACATTCCATTCCCCACCTGAAAGGGAGAGAAGGGGATAAGATAGGAGAAGCCTCTGTGAGACAAGCCTGAGAGAGAGAAGGGGGATAGGGGAGGAGAGGCTTCTGTGGGGCAAGCCTGAGGGAGAGAAGAGGAGAGGAGATGCCGATCGTAACTACTCATTATTTTTCAAGCTGTAAATGTCAATTTATCTAGCCTGATCACATAGTTTTGTAGCGAAGCACAGGTATCTAGCTAGTCAGGGGATAGTTGTACCTTGACTAGCTAGATCAAACGCTCTTTGAGTGTTTAAAGTTGCCGACCAGGCAGCCATGGACTCCTGAATGGATTTTTGACATATTACTGCTTTTTTCCTGCTAACCACCCATCTTGCAAATCCAGATCCCCGTGTTGGGGGATTTGTATTCCTCTTATTTTTTTTCCCTTTCTTTTTCTTTTTGGAAGTCTTACTTTGCTTAGACAGCTGTCAGACATATGGTGTCCCATTGGCTGTCAAATTTAAAGTGAAACAGGTTGGAGCAAAACACGGTTCACTTTTTCTCTATTCCCAGCTTTGCATAATCGACCAATGACCTCTGCGCCTTTCATATGCTTTTTTGGAAGATAATGAGAGGGAAAGTTGCAAATTCTCAGCTGTCGAGGAATATTCTACCATATGAGCTCGCCGTTTGAGGATTTTTTTCCCCCTTTTCTTTTGGTGTTAAACTCGCTTTTAAGAGATGAATGTGTGTTCCCTTGGCAGGTGCTGGTTTCTATGTCTTCTAATCCTGGATTAACCATTGGAGTTCACTTGCTAGTTTCTTGCAACAAGAATACTGGACTGAAAGTTAAGAGGTTGTTGTGTAGAATTGGTAAAATGTTTCACAGGAGACAATTTGCCCCATTGCTACAGTGATATCTGGGTACTCATCCTTAATTGGTTCCGGTCAGGGGTGAAATCTACTTACCTTCCCAACCGGTTCGGAAGTGCACATGCTGTGCGGGCCCTCTGCGCATGCGCAGAGGGTAAAAAACAGGTTACTTCCTGGTTAAAACCAGGAAGTAACGACAACTGGGTGGGTGGGTGGAGCCTGGCACAGCCATAGCTACCGGTTTTCTGAACCACCGCCCGCCATCGCTACTGGTTTGGCTAAACCGGGAGCATTTCACCCCTGGGTCCGGTACCCAAAATGATGAGCACCAAACAAAATTTTCCCATAAGCCACGATGGCGCAGTGGTTAGAGTGCATACTGTAGGCTACTTCTGCTGACTGCCGGCTGCCTGCAATTTGGCAGTTCAAATCTCACCAGGCTCAAGGTTGACTCAGCCTTCCATCCTTCCGAGGTGGGTAAAATGAGGACCCAGATTGTTGGGGGCAATAGGCTGACTCTGTAAACTACTTAGATAGGGCTGTAAAGCACTGTAAAGTGGTATATAAGTCTAAGGGTTATTGCTATAAAGAATAAGGTAGTCATCAACTTATGACCAGCTAGGTGACTTTCGGTCAGTCATGTTCTCTCAGCCCAACCCACCTCACAGGCTTGTGGTGGGGAAAAAAGAGAAGGGAAGGAGAATGCGTAGCCCAGGGGTCAGCAATCTGTAGCTCTGGAGCCGCATGTGGCTCTTTCATCCCTCTGCTGTGGCTCCCTGTTACCGGTGGGCTCCACAATTGATAGGGGTTTCGGTTAGGACAGGTAGAGGAAAAAGGACGCCACGCTAGGAGGAGACTCTATGGTAAGGTTACCGGACTTCCGGTCGGCAGAGGAAAAAGGATGCTGCGCTAGGAGGAGACTATGGTGGGGGAACCTGACATCCGGTC